TAACCCGTTTGTTGTGGTCGTCAGCGCCAAGGAAGCTGCCTCGGCCCGTCGGCGGTTTGTTATCTCCGGGTCGGGTCGCCGATGGGGAGGGGTCCGCGCCCGGGGATGGTTATTCCCGAGAGAGGAGGGGGAGGGACGAAGCGATGGAACGGGAATGGAAGGTTGAATTTAGAAGGAAAAAGAATGAGAGGAAGGAAAAAAAGAGCTGAATGATATTTCCTTGAGTATAAGCAAGGAATGCCTCTCGTTTCGACTCTGGGAGAGAAAGAGAGCGTTTTATCTGCATGTCCACACAGCTGCACACAGGCATCCGCGCCCTCTGCTTGCAAGCTGAATGCCGAGGGTTTCCTTTCTAGAGCAGGGGAAAGAAGCAAACCGCAGAGCCATAGCCCGTCTCGAAATGGTAGTTCTCCGCCCCGCGACGAAGCCCATAAAAGCGTTTTCGAGGCAATATGAGGTTCTGCCGCGCGCCGGGCGAGCGCTTGGCCATCTGTTCGGGGCCGTGCAACAACTGCAACATTACCTTCGGTCGCCGCGTCGCGCGCTGACCGCTCGGACGCCCCCGCGCTCTTGCACGCACGCACTCACGCATGCACGCGGATCGGTGGTGCTATTTCCACCTCCGCCTGTTTATTTTAGGGGCAGTACATTGCGCGCGAGGCCCGTGGCGATATGCTTGGCACGGACGCCTGTTGACGCCCCGGGTATTTGGGATCCGTCAGCGTGGTGGTGACGTCACCCGCGGGGCCTGTCACACGGGGGTTGGCATGGGCATCGGGCACGGGCACGGCGCTCGCCATTGATTTCTCCAACTAAGGGGGGGAGGAAGGAGGAAGAAGGGGGTGGAGGGTGGGACTTCGGTGGCACCTCGTATCCTTTTTTTTTTTTCTTTTTCTTCTTTCTTCATTTTCTTTTCTTTTCTTTATTTTTCATATCTTTTTTTCTTTTCTTTTTCTCTTTTTATCTCGTGGAATGGCCCTGTCTGGTTGGTTGGGCTTATTGGACGTTAAGGGCGGCTTTTGCGTGCAGGAGCGGAGAAGGTTTGCTCGGCGACGGAAAGTTGAAGTCGCAGCGATAAAAACGACGGAGATAAAAATAAGAAAAAAATAGGTTTGACGGCAATCAGTGTAACAGGAAAGGAGTATGGATAGAAGGCGCGGCCGTGAGAGAGAGAGAAAAGAGCGGATAGATGGGGATAGACGGTGTTTACGTCAGAGTCTGATCGCGTGAAACGAAAGGAGGAGGAAGTTAGGCTGAAGAGGTGTCTGGAGGAGGAGGAGGAGGAGCGTGGCCAATAATTTTCGGCTGGAATCTATTATATTCTCATCAAGCAACGTGTTACTTGTGGGGGAACAGGAGGAATTGAGGGAAGAGGAGGAGGAGGAAAAAAGGAGGGGTAGGAGGAGGAGGAGAAGAGGAAGAGAGGAGGGGTAGGAGGAGGAGGAGGGATAGAGAGAGAAAGAGGAGGGGGAGTAGGAGGAGGAGAAGAAGAGGTAGAAGGAGGAGGAGAGGTAGAAGAAGGAAGGGGAGGAGGAGGAGGAGGAGAGGTAGAAGGAGAGGCAAAACGGAAAAGAGTGAGGGGTTCGCTGCGGGATTGTTTACTCATCTCAAGGGTCTCAGCTGAGTGGCTGCGTCTTCACACCTGCCCGGCTCGCCCCAGCTGAAGGAACCAGCCCCGTGGTCCAGCTGCCTGCATGACTGGACTGCGGGTTGCACGGCAGGCAGGCAGGCAGGACGACGCAATTCACATGTGGCGTGGGCGTGTAGCAAGGGCGGGCATGTGTGTGCCTGGTGGAGGTGTCCGGGCACTGGGCTTCCCACACACGCCGCGGAGGGCTCGCCGTGCCCACTCGCCTTGGTCCTCGCAAAAAAAAAGAAAAAAAAAGAAAAAAATCATTTCGCCGCTCAGGGTCTTTCTACGCGGTAGATCTTTGGGGACACCTTTATTGTTTTGTTTTTGGGCTTTTTTTTATTTATTCATTCATTTATTAGATCTTTGGGGGGATGCCTTTTATTTTGTTTTCTGAGCCCTTTTTATTTATTCATTTATTTATTCATTTGTTTATACATTTTTATTCATTTATATTCAAAACAACCCCGGAATTTGTCTGTCACTGTACAGTACACGCTCGCAGGGGGGGAGACAATAGCCCAGTGGGGATTGTCGAGCAGACGAATTTCGACTCGTTCTGGCCGGCCCAAGTGATCTTTTAACGCGTGCGAGTGCGGATCCTGACGTCTTGCTATTTTCCGTGTCCAGATATCTGTCGTTTGTTGGGGTGGATGGGGGGGGGGTGGAAGGGTCTGTCTTTGGGATTGGGTGGGGTGGATGTGGGGGGGGGTAAGTTAGTGAGAGTGGGGGGGGTGGAGGGGGGGGGAGGGGTGGTTGTGATAGATAGGGGAAAAGTCGGGGTGGAGGGGGTGGCGTGTGGGGTAATGTCCAGCTAGAAGAGCGTGTGGGAATTAACTCCTCCGTACAGTTCGTGGTCGTGCGGGCGGTTTGTGTAAGATAAATCTATGGGGAGGGATTTTATGACGGGGTTGGCGGGTGTGTTTCGTTTGGCGTCTATGGTTTGGGCGAAACGGAGATGGTTGGTCGTTCAAGTTTGTTTTGCAAGGGGAGCCGGGCGGTTTAATTTTTTTTGGCTAAAAGGCAGTGGACATCCCTATTTCTCTCTGGCTCCACTTTTTTATTTCTTTCTGTTCTTTAGTCTTCGTATTTATTTTATTTTTTTGAGACATTGCGCAATTTTTTTGTATTACCTGTTTTTTCCAAGTGTCTTTTGTTCATTCTTTATTTATTCCATAATGCTCATTTTCTGTCATGTATTTATTCATTTATTTATGTTTTTTATAATTCATTTATTTATTTTATATCTGTTTATCCCGAAAGGCAGCGGTTGAGTACATTTATGTTTTCTCATCTTTATTCATACTTATTTTATCTATCATGGATTTATTTATATATTTGATTATTTCGTGTATTTTTTGTTTATTTCGTTTCGTTTTTTTCCGTTTATTTGTTCATTTATTTATTTTATTTTATCATTTGTTTATTTATCTATCATGCATTTATTTATAAATTCTTATCATATTATCTCTCGCTTTATTTTGTTTTACACGTCCTTTCTATTTCGAAAAGGCTCGGCGGTTGAATACATTTCTTTATTCAGCTTATTTATTCATACTTGCCTATCTTATGCATTTATTTATAAATTTATCATTTCGTTTATTTATTTAAGTATTTATTCGAAAAGAGTACATTTATTTATTCAATTCATTTATTCATACTCGCCTATCTATCATGCATTTCTTTATATATTTATATTTACCTGCGTCCTTCCAGCCTCGCTCGCTCGCACCATACAGGTTGGTCGAGACGCGTTGCCCTGCGCCCTCTCCACGCCCATTGTTCACACGTCCCGCCCGCTACTCTTTTAGCTGCGGGGATTTCTCGGTATTATCTCGGGTCTCTCTTCTTTACTGTGGGGAGGGTGTGCCGAACGTTTTTATTTTTTGTTTTTCTTTGATTTTCCTCTTTTGCTGTATGGCTTTTTTTTTTTGGAGGTTGTGCGAAACTTTTTTGTTTTTGTTTTGATTTTTCTTTTTGCTCGTTTTGGTCGTTTTTTTTTTTTGGAGGTTGTGCGAACGTGTTTTTCTTTTTTGTTTTTGTTTTGATTTTTCTTTTTGCTTTTGCTGAACCGTTTTTGTTTTCTATTTTTGGAGGTTGTGCGAACGTTTCTTTTTTTCTGTTTTTTTTTCCCTCTCTTGCTGAAACTTTTTTTTTTTCGCGGGGTCGTTCATGTTTCTCATCGTTACTGTGTGATTTTTAGGTTTTTTTTTTTTCGTTTTTAATGCAAAAGGCATTATTAATTTATTCTTGTTGTTTTTATTGTTATTTATTTATTATTATCTATTATTATTATTTATTTATTATTATTCTTATTATTATTGTTGGTGTTGTTTTATCCTAAAACGTCGTCTTCGGCATTTTCCTCTTTACATACTTTCTCGCAGCCCTCAGTTCTTGAAGAGGCTTTCTTTTTCGGGCACTCCTCTACTTTATGTACGGATTGCGCGCTGAATCTAACTTCTACTCAACTGAGGGAGAAACCGCGCGGAGATGTGAGATTTGGGGGGAAAAGAGAGAATTACGGAGGGAAACTGATCGGGTTTGCGAATTGCTTTTGTTTTTTCGTATTTTCCGTTTTGTGTGGGAGAGTCTTCGTTGAGCCTCGATGGCCGCTCTTCAACGCGCCCGTCGCTTAGCTTCTTCACTACACCTCATCCCTTTCTTTTCTTTTTTCTCTTTTTCTCTTTCTTTGTCTCTTCAATCTTTTGTCTCTCTCTCTCTCTCTCGTCTCTCTCTCTCTCTCGTCTCTCTCTCTCGTCATCTCTTCTCTCTTCTCTCTCTCTCTCCTCTTCTCTCTCTCTCTCTCTCTCTCTCTCTTTCTATCTCTCTTTCACCCTTCCCTTCCTCCCTCCCCTTTTTCTTCCTCGCTCCTCTCTCTCCGTCCTCTCATCCACCCTCTCTCTTTCCTCCACCCTCTCCCCTTCCTTCCTCCCACTCTCCTCCCTTTCCCCTAACTCTCTCTCTCCCTCCCATTGAAGATTAAAGCCGTAATGTTCGTAATGTGGCGTCGTCATCGGCCAATCCTTTTGTTCACATCCTCGTCATTTTCATCTTCCATTTTCGTCTTCATTTCGTCTTGCATTTGCGTCTTCCATTTTCGTCTTTCATTTTCGTTTTCCATTTTCGTCTCGCATTTGCGTCTTCCGAAGAATGCATGACGCAAGACGCGAGGGCGCAGCGCGTGTTCGCCTTAACCTTCCTTTTCGCTCCACCTAGATGTATGTGATCCGTATGACGATCCCACGTGATCACCGTTAAGCCACTCCCCCGTGTGATATATTGCTTGATCTTTGACGTGTTATTGATATATCCACCCCCACCCCCACCCCTGCCATCCTCTCACGTTCTTTTGTTCTTCTTGTTCCAGAGATCAACAAGGTGCGGGCGAACTTGTTCCACATCAATGGCGGTGCCAAGGAGCCTCTCTCCCTGCCAGATCCCGTGGGAGCCTCCGTGACGCTCTCCGACAAGGTCTACGTCCCTGTCAAGGAGCACCCCGAGGTGAGTAATGCGACCCGTTGGGAGCTCTGTCGGCCTCGCAGGCTGGGATGGAGCTCCGGGTTGTTTGAGTTGGTTAGTTCGTTCGTTCGTGAGGTAGGTAGGTAGGTAGGTAGGTCTGGTTTAGTTTGTTTGGATGGGGTTGGGATCTCTGGGTCTTTCTTTGCAAGCTTGTTAGTTGTTAGTTCCTTGGATGGGTTGGGATCTTGGGTCTTTCTTTGCAAGCTTGTTAGTTGGTTAGTTCGTTGGGTAGGTCTGTGTTTAGTTTGCTTGGATGGGGTTGGGATCCTTGGGTCTTCCCTAGCAAGCCTGCAGGGTATGAATAGATATCGCTTGCAAGTGCGTGAGTTCCTTCGGGCCGCCATATAGGGCGGTCGGGTGTGTCCCCCGCGAGAGGTGAGAGTATTAGGCCACGGCCGTTCGTTAGGAGGGCTGCCAAAGAAGTCGCATTTGGCCTATTGCAAAGGCCTAATGGGAGCTGCCGAGTCGGGTAATAACGGAGAGTTTGAGTGGTGTGTGATGGTCAGGTGAGGCTCGTGTTGCGCGGTGAAGGGTGAGAAAGTGGAGGATGCGGGGGAAGGTTGAGTGTGAAGAGTGAGTGTGCAGGTTGAGGGTGAGGGCTGAGTGTTAAGTTCAGCGTGAAGGTTCGTCTTAAATCTCCAAAAAGTGGAGTGTGAATATCCGAGTCTGAAGCGTGAAAGCGGACTGTAAATATCCGAAAGTGAAGGTCGAGTGTGAGTTGAGTGTGAATGTCTGAGATTGACGGCTGGAGGCTCATTATGCAGGGGAGTGTGAATGTGGGAGAGCGAAGGGCGGGCTTGAAGGGCGAGTGTGAATGTGGGAGAGTGAAGGCGGAGTGTGAAGGCCGAGTCACGCCAAGACCTGGAAGATGACGGGGCGGGGGCGGGTGATGGATGGCGTGAGGGCGGCCGCAAGCGGGTGTCAGTCTGCCCTTTCTGTTTTAATTACCATATCCCATCGCTTATTCCTCCTCCGGATACGCGAGTCATTCGGCATTCACTCTGCCTTGAATGGCGCCGGGATGAGTGGGTGTCTGTGGGAGCGGTTTTTGCTCTCGGGGGATCCTCCGGGAGGGATTTATGTTTGATTCCCTGGGAGGGATTTTTGCGCTTGTAGGATTCTGTGGGAGGGATTTATGTGCTTATTAAGTTCAGTCGGGAGATTTATCGGCACTCTGGGCTGGCTATTTATGTGTCGGTGCGCCGGGAAGAGGAGAACACGTATGCGTGGTCAGGGATGTCAAGTTGTTTGCGGCGAGAGAGGCCCCGCGGTGCTTGATGCTGGAGGAGGCGAAATATAGCTCCTTGGGGCCACTTGAGCGCTGCAGGATACAGGTGTCGTTTCGTAATGGCGCGGCACTCCAGCTCCTCGGCGGGGTGCTCTTGTGGGCGCGCTGCGGGACCGCACACTCGCGGGCGATCGCTATGGATGTCATGCGATGCGGTGGAAGGTCGGGCCATGCGATCCGAGAGTAGTTTTGCGTCCAGGTGCGTCGGATTCGGCCCGCGGGCTTGCATGACACGCCTGCAGAGAACCCATGCCTATGTTTGGTGCGCCGCGGCGTCGTCCTCGAGGCTAGCTCAAAGCAGGCGGGGGCCGTGCGAGGCATAGTTAAAGGGGCGAGAAGGCGAGAAGATCGAATAATTTTGATGATTTTGAAATAATACATTAATACATTAAGCTAAAGATAAGAAATAATACTTAAAAAGAGTGACGTAATAAAATTAATTATAGATAAGAAATAATACTTATAAAGAGTGGCGTAATAGAATAAACTAAAGATAAGAAAAAATACTTATAAGGAGTGGCGTAATAGAATAAACTAAAGATAAGAAAAAAATACTTATAAAGAATGACGTAATACAGTAAACTAAAGATGAGAAATAGTACTTATAAAGCGTGATGGAGTACAGTACAGTAAAGATGAAAAAATAAATGTAATTTGCATGATATATCGTCTTCTTCGTAAATGAGGGAGGGAAGGCTGGATGCACGGCCTGCCTCCCTTGTATGGCCAGGTACTGCAGCCCGCAGTCTGGCCGCCCGCGCGTCCTGCTGGCCGGGGGGCGGGGGGGTCCCTACAAGGCGCGATCTCCTTCCATTCCTAATTGATTATTCACAATATAATGAGACTTCGACGCCGGTTCAGCTGTGAGTAATGGTCGTCTTCGGTTTCCGTGCATTCCTCCTCGTCCTAAAGCCATTACCGGTGTTTCTTGGGGGATGTGTCTGTCTGTCTGTATGTATGTCTGCTATCTGTCTATCTGTCTATCTGTCTGTCTGTCAGTGGGAGATGGCTTTTGGAGGAGTGTTGTGGGGAGGGAGGGGGGGGGAGGTGCGACTGAAGGAGTGCATGTTTGTTGTGATAGATTTTAGCACGAGGTGTGTTGGTATGGATTTTAATGCGAGGTAATTGGTGGAGATTTTAACACGAGATATAGTTCTCTGAATATTATCGCGAGATATGTGTATGTTTGGTATGAATTATAACGTGATAAATATTGATATAGATTTTAACGCAACATAAATTTTAATGGGATTTATATGAATTTTAACACAATTGATTTTGACGCAAGATTATTATATGAATTTTTATATCGATATATCTAACACAAGATATATCGATGCGAATTTTAACGCTGGATATATATTGATATGAATCTGAAAACGAAATATATTGAGATTTATTTAACCGTGAGAGGTGTGCGTGGCTGAGGAGGAGGAGGAGGAGAGAAGAGAGAAGAAGAGAAGAAGAAGAAGAAGAAGAAGAAGAAGAAGAAGAAGAAGAAGAAGAAGAAGAAGAAGAAGAAGAAGAAGAAGAAGAAGAAGAAGAAGAAGAAGAAGTAATGAGGAGGAGAAAGGAGGAGGAGGAGAGGCTGCGCAAAGGAAATTGCTTTCGACAGTTACGAAATAAAAGGGTTTGTTAGAAAGGGAAGCGAAGCGAAGGGAAGCGGGAGGGATGGCGGGAGGAAGGGTAGGCTGTGTGGTTATGCGGTCGGTGTGTTTTATTAAATTAACAGCTGTAGAATATTAGGCCTACTCCTGCATATTAAGGGGATATCTCTTCTCTCTCTCTCTTCTCTCTCTCTCTCTCTCTCTCTCTCTCTCTCTCTCTCTCTCTCTCTCTCTCTCTCTCTCTCTCTCTCTCTCTCTCTCCCTCTCCTCTCTCTCTCCCTCTCCTCTCCCTCTCCCCTCCCTCTCCCTCTCCTCTCCCTCTCCCTCTCCTCTCTCTCCCTCCCTCTCTCCCTCTCCCTCCTCTCTCCTCTCTCTCACTCTCCTCCTCTCCTCTCTCTCTCTCTCCCTCTCTCTCCCTCTCTCTCTCTCTCTCTCTCTCTCTCTCTCTCTCTCTCTCTCTCTCCTCTCTCTCTCTCTCTCTCTCTCTCTCTCTCTCTCTCTCTCTCTCTCTCTCTCTCTCTCTCTCTCTCACTCTCACTCTCACTCTCTCTCTCTCCCTCACTGTCTCGATTATTAACAACTGAAAATAGTTGTGTAAAACGAGACTTGAGCAGGAAAAGGAGGTCTATCGAGGAAAGTGTTGTGACACGTTTTTGCCCCCGTCTTATAGGCCTATATGTTCCAAATACCCAAACCTGACCGTTTACAAAAGCACGAGCAAAGCTCACTTTTTTCTGTTAGTATGTGGCTCTCTGTTTTGAAATTTGAGATCGGTTTAAGTATGCATCATGGTTCTTTCGTAGAGACCTTTCCCGTTTATTATTATTTTCTTTATTATTATTATTATTATTACTACTACTACTACTATTATTGTTATTATTATTTTACAAAGACCAGACTGTTGATTTGGATTAATGATGATGATGATGATGGTAATATTGATTATAGGGATAATCCATGTTTGATTAAATGCTGGCTTTATCCTTTTCATACGAATATAGTTTATATAGATTGAGAGGAAAATGGAAAAAAGAATGCCCTCCATCTTTATAATCTGTTTATCTTTAGATTATATTGGCCTGCATAAATATATAAACATTCATATGCTCGTATCTAGAGGACCCGTTTTTTTTATAATACTTTAATCCATTCACACTATGTTCTATGATGACAAGTATTACTTTGAGATGACTCGGTAACTTCTTGTAAAGCAGATATTTTAGATTTTACAGTGATAACTTCAGAGGATTTATCTATGTGAGAACTGATACTAATATACAAAAAGTAAAGTTTGGCAGGTTTATGTGAAGAAGTTATTTATTATTTTTGAAGAGAATTCTCAAGTAAACAATGTATTTTTTGTCTAAGCTTTCTTAAGCCACATAATAGATCGAGAAATACACGTGTGGTTTCAAGACATCGATGTATACACTCGATAGTTTACACTTTGTTTTTGTACAGTGTTCCGCCTCCAAAGAATAGATTTCAAAATCTCTGGCGGGAGATTTCTTGCACCTCTGAGAGAAAGCCCATACCTATAGGATGTAAAATGCCCATATATCTGAAGAACGTCAATACCCGCATTTTTGGCCATTTTCAAGGGAGAGGGTCCCCGTAACAGGTATTGGCCATTTGGTAATCACGCGGGGCAGATGGGGCAATTTATCATTAATCGCTGTTTGGTTAGATGTATCGAATAGCAAATAGTGTCAGTGGGCAGTGTAAGAATCATCTTGTCTGAAGATAGAGTTGTTTGTAATGGTAACGGTGCGGTGGGCAGGCGGGCGGGCGGGCGGGCGGGGAGGGCCTGGGGCGTCCGCAGCGACCCGCAGGAGGTCCGCGCCCCCGCCGAGACCAGGTACCGCACATGCCTCAGGGCTCGCTCGGGGTACGTTTAAGGGCACACCTCGACACACTCCAGACCCGTGTAGGATAAACACGAATGGCTGCGGAACATCCCGGCGAGCCAGGACGGGACGGGTTGGAACTGAGCCTCGCGCGGGGACAGGAGTAGCCGTCGCGGCGACCGAAGCCAGGCAGCTCGAATTACGGCGAGCTTCGAGATCACTTTCCGGGGCGAGTTGAAA